TTCTTTTTTCTTTTGGAGGAACTGGGGATTGAACTCAGACCCTTGTGCTTGCCAGACAAGCGCTTATTCTACTAAGCTATCTCCCTAGTCCCACTTTCTCACTACTTTCTTCACCCCCTCTGCCCCAGGATTGCGGGACAGCCCTCCCATCCTTGTTCTTCCTGCCTGTCCAAGATTATCCCAGAGAAACTCACGCTCTGTCCTTCAGGTTCCACTCTTGCTACAGGGAAGGACTTTATGACTCCCTCTCCTCGGACCAAGCATAGCCTTCCAGGCAGCCCGGAGCTCCCACGGAACTCTAGTTGGGTTCAGAGCCGGCTGGAACAGGCGCTACCGTGGCCCAGCACTGAGCTGCCCTGGGTGGAGGCCCCTGCCCTGGAAAGGTAGTGTATCCTCTCATTCGCAGATTCCTTGAATAATACTTACGGTGTGTGCCAAGCGGTAAGTTAGCCTTTACCTTGACATTTAAAAAATAGCAGGTTTAAGATATAATTAACATATTATGCAGTTTATTTCTGCGAGGTATGTACCTCCAGGGTTTGCAGGCTATTTGGAGTTGTACCACCAGCGCCACCATCTAATTTTAGGACCTGTTCATCACTCCAGAAAAAAACCCATACCCACTAGCCATCTCTCTGCAGTCTCCCTTGCCTCAGGTCTCTATGGGTTTGTCTATGAAAGACCTTCATATAAATGGAATCCTGACATGTGGCTTTTGTGATTAGCTTCTTTCATTTAGTGTGTTTTCAATATGGTTTTATCCGCATTGTATCATGATGCGTACTTCACTTCTTTTTTTGCTAATTAACGATCTATTCTCCATTTTATTTATCCATGTGTCATTTGATTGATCTTCGGGTTGTCTCTACTTTTTGACTATTCTGAATAACGCTGCTGGGAACACCCTGGTGGACATGAGTTATTTCGCCTGAGTGCGCATGGAGGACTAGGGTCTCGGTAACTCTGCTGCACATTTTGAGAAGCTGCTCAAATTTTCCCAAGAAGCTGACCGGTTTAACATTCCCACCAGCAGTGTATGGAGGGCTCCCACTTCTCTACATCCACATCTACACTGTTCCTTTTTTAAAAAAATAGTCATCTTGGGTGGGCGGGATAGCTCAGCCAACTAAAGCGCCTGCTTAGGTAAACTTAGGCAAGCGCAGGGACTGGGGTTCAAGCCCCAGCCCCACATGCCTCACTAGCCCCGCCCCCAGGGTGGACTGAGCCCTCCAGAGTCCGGGTGTAGTGAGTTTAGTGACCATGCCTGTAATCCCAGCTCTGGGAGGCTGAAAGCAGGAGGATCACCGTGAGTCCGAGCTGCTCAGTGAGACTGTGCAACAAAATATGTATTTTACAACAACAAAATACATTAAAAAAGAAAAACGTAAAAAATAAAAAATAAAAAAGTCACCTTGTAGGTGTGCAGAAGCATCTCTTTGTGTGTTCATTCGCATCTCCTTCCCTGATGGCTAATGTTGAACATCCTTTCATGTCCTCCTTGGGCATTCATACATTTATTGTCTTTGGAGAAATGTCTGTTCAAATTCTCTGCTTATTTTTAAATTGTCTTTTCATTGTTGAGTTGTAAGAGTTCTTTACATATTCTGGATACAAATTCTTTTTTGATGCCTTTTTTGAATTTTAAGGACATCTAAATCAAGGTTGGAGCAGGCGTTGCTTTTTTTTTTTTTTAAGAATATGTAGTGTGTTGCAAGGTGACAGAAACCTTGCAAAGAATACATTCCATCCCACACAGACCCTAGAGGGAAGGATATACTGTGTAGAACTGTCCTTCCTTGGGGCCGGCTCACTGCTCAGTGATGCCCATTTTAAATCCTTGCTGAAGAGGAGTCACAGAGCCTCAGTGGGCTGGAGGGGGAGGAATACAGATTGGTTAGTGTGCTGAAGGCAGAGTCACAGGAAGGATCTTTTTGTATTTCTTAGAGCATAGGTTTTTATTTATTTTTTGGGGGGTAAATGAAATGGCACATTAAAAGTATTTTGGAGTTGTAAAGTTCTATGCAAGAATAAGAAGGCATTCGTATTGTCACTGTTGTTGTTTGTGGGAACCAAGGAAAATCCTGTCTTGGATGAAATCACAGATCACAATGAGGTGAGGTGTAAGGGTGGGGTTTGGAAGGGTGAAAGAGAAGGAGAGAGGAGGGAAGCATAGCTGGCAAACCTAGGGCAGAGAGAAGAGGGAGGGGAGGAAGGGAAGGGGAGGGAGGGGGTAGGGGGGGAGGGGGAGAGAGACAAAGAGATGGAGGGGGAGAGAGGGAGGGAGAGAGCGACAGAGAGAAAGGGAATGAAGGAGGGAGGGAGGGAGAGAGAGAGAGAGGCCTTTGTGATTTCTGGCTCATTCTTTTACCACCTGGATAATAATTTACATAATACTTTTTTAAGAGTGGGCTTTTATTTCTCTTAAGTAAACAGATTATGTTTATAAAGGAAAGTTTGTGCAGCAGTTATAAATTATCAAACTGCATCATTTTCCCAATAGAAGGTATGAAAACAGACAGTGTTATTGAAGTCTCTGGATCCTGTTGCCCTCTGGACAGTCATCTCAGCCTGGCTCACCACATGTCACTCAAGCCCCTGCTTCAGTGCCACCCCTGCTGGAAGCTGCTCTGGCCCCCGGTGGCTCCCATGCCAGCCTCTCAGGCCGAGGTTCACAGGTTCATGGTAATGAGCTCATTAGGGTCCACGCAGACAGGAATTCTTTGTTCTATTGGCCCCAGATCCGACCCAGCTCCCTGTCAATAAATGAAGGTTGAGTCAGGAGCTAGAAGCCCCGAGATGCAGGGCTTCTCTCTGTTTTTGTTGTCCTTGTTTTAGCAAGTGTCAGCGAGGTGTTAAAACACAGCCAGCAGTGCCAAGCTGCCGCTTGCACCTCATGTAATCAGGAGGGGAGGCGAGAAGAAGAGGGCTGGTCCCAGGGTGAGATCTCAAAGGTGCTCTGGCTTCCCCACCCATGCCTTGGGAATCCCTGGACCTGCAGCTCACCCCAGAAATAGCATCACAACCTCACCAGCTTCCTTCTTCCCCAGAGGGAAGGAGTTAGGACCCTCTGCCCACCTCCTGGAGCTGCTGTGGGTGTGAACAGACCTGCTTTGACAGAGCGCCTGGCAGATAGAAGCTGCTCAGAATGTGACAGTAGGAAATCAAGGATTTAAGGATAGACAATGGGATTTAACTGTGGCTTTGCTTGCTGACTTCCAGGCCCCAACTCTTTTCATTCAATCATTTTCTCCCCCTCCTTCCCTCCATCCCCCCCCCCCCATATTGGCCATTGAACCCAATGCCTTTGCACTAAGTTATACCTCTAGCATATATATATATATATTTGAAACAGATGTTATGACTAAGTCTCTAAACTGCCTAGGCTGAGCTCAAACTTTCCCTCACCCTACCTTAGCCTTCCAGAGTGCTGGGATTACAGGCATTTGCCACCATCCCTGGTTGGCTGAGCCCCAACCATTAAAGTAATAATACTATTTACTCTTTATCGAGTACTCAGTAGGTACTGAGTATCTTGCTAAAACCAGAGCTTTACTTACATCATTTTATTTTACCCTTGCCACGAAGTAGGGATTTATTAATTCCATTTCGCAGATGTGGAAGGTGGGGCTTAAAGTTGTTTTATGTAAGGAAGGATGCAGCCAGATCTTCCATCTTCCAAGCCCGACCTGCTAACCATCACCTTAGCAGTCAACTAAATGCCATAACCCACAAGAAGACTTCCTGTCTGGTAGTCATGACTCTGTACTGTTCCCTCTGATGACATTGATCTCTATCTCTAGGGGTGTGCATGTGCATGTGAGGTAGGGGTGTGTGTGTGTGTGTGTGTGTGTGTGTGTGTGTGTGTTAGGCATACATTTCTTGAGGTCCCAGGGCTGAGTGGAGTAAATGAAGGATTATGGGCTCTGTGCAGCTGCCTTTTTAAAAAAAAATTATTTATTCATTTTGATATAGGTTCTCCCTACCCAGTTCAGATTCACAGGGATCCTCCTGTCTCAGCCTCCCCAGGGCTGGGATCACAGGTGTGCACCACCACACTTAGTTTTGGGGGTGGCAGTACCAAGGATTGAACTCGGGTCTTTGTACTTGCTAGGCAGGTACTTAGACCGCCTAGCTCATAGCTGCCTTTCTAGAGACACTGATTAGCTACATCAAGAACCTCCCAAGCTCTTTACTTAGGAGTCTATGGGGAGGATGCATCCTAGACCAAGAGTCCAGTGCCATCTGATAAGGACAGGTGTGCAGACAGTCCTGGGAGAGGGGAGGAGGTGGCTTCCAGTGCGCCCATGCTCGTGATGCAGGTGGCTGTGTGGCCATCTTTTCTGATCCGCTATCCAATCTGTTCTACCCTGCCCTGTCTCCGCAGAGCTTGGGGAAGAGGAGAGTGGTATATATCGTTGGGTCAGGGCTAGTGGCTGCTCCGGTAGGAGTTCTGCATGCTGCACTGTTCTGGCTGGTTTCCTAGCAGCACCTGGACCTCACCTCCATTGGTGTCCCCCTGTTAGAAACTGCCTAATTTCAACACGCATACTCTGAGGAACCGATGGCCTGGAATGTCTGTCTGTGCCTTAATCTAGACCTCCTTCTGAGGTCAGGGCCTATCCTCTGCGTCCCTGACATAGTACTTGGGACCTGGTTTTAACATTTCCCGAGCATTGACTATGTGCCAGCACTGTTGTCTGCATTGGCTCAGCTAATCCTCATAGCAGTCCTGATTATCATCCCCTGTAGATGAAGACACTGAGGGACACAAGTTGAGTAACTCGCCCCAGGCCAGCTGCATCAACTGGGCCGTGTGACTCCTAGGCTAACAGTGTGGCTCTCAAGACTAGTTTTGGGCTATCTTTCCATTTGTAGTTTTGGGGGTGATGTGTTTTAGGTGGAGGAACCAAAAGAACTTGTTTCTTTGCCACCCCAGGGGTAGAAGTTGGAACGGGGTTACCATGACAACCAGATCAACTGGTTGCAACATTGGATGAGCCCCTGGGGCCCAGGTTCTGCTGCTGGCAGAGGGAAGGTTGGGTTGGCATGGGCCAGTGTTTGAGGTACCAGATGCACTGGGAGGACCTGGAAGAGTACCAGGTGGGTGGATTGGGGAGAAGATGCTGAGCAGGGCTGGGAGTTTTCCAAGGCAGGTGAGATAAAGGGGAGAACTCTTGCCCATGGTGCTAGAGTTTGCCAGGCTAAGGAGGGGGTGGCTCTTATCCTTGCTAAACCTCCTGCCACATGGCCTGGACCAGTCCTCACCTCCTGATCCAAATCCCAGAGCTGTGGTGGTCTCTGACCCCCATAGTAGGGGGTTCTGTGTTGCTGTGTCTCTCCCTCAGCTGTGGAGAGGAAGGAAAGAGGCCGAGGCCATGTTTTTCTTTGCCCGCACCTCAGGCCTCTGCTCCCTTGGGGTACTATCTCCATTTTCTCAGCCATCAAATGAGAGAATGGGCTTTTTCCTCCCTTTCCCTGAAGTGCCTGGCTCTCCCAAGGGACCAGGGCAGGGTGGGATTGAGTGGCAGTCACCTCTCTGATTTGTTGCAGGCCCTGACCTTCCTGACCAGAAATGAAATTCTGTGGTGAGTGGAGGGATGGGGCCCCTTTTCTCTCCCTATGTGTTAGTTCTTGCCCTGGTTCAGCCTTACTCTAGCCTGTGGGTGTACCCCTTCTCAGAGCCAACAGCCTTGGGGCTGCAGCTGGGACAAGCAGCACCCCTAGAGCTGAAGGAAGCCTTAGGTTTCTCTGATTTTAACCGCTCCCTCAAAGCTGCCTCCTTTCCTTCCTCCCTCCCTCCCTTCCCTTCCCTTCTTTTCCCTTCCCTTCCTTATTGCTCCCTCCCTTTCTGTTTTTCTTCCTTCCTTTTCTTCTTCCTCTCCTCTTCTTCCTCCTTCTGTTCCTCCCCCTTCTCCTTTTCATTTCTTCTTTCTCTCCTTCCTTTTCTTCTCCTTCTTCTCTCTCTTCCTTTTCTCTCTTCCTTTTCATCTTTTCTTCCTTTTCCCCTCTCCCACTCCTTCCTTCCTTCCTCTTCTCTTTCTTTTTTGTACTAGGGGTTGAACTCAGAACTCCAATCCTTCTTTACTTTTTATTTGAGACACAGTCTCTCAGTTGCTCAGGCTGGGCTTCTGCCTCATCCTTCCAGAGTTACTGGGATTATACAACTGCACCTGGCTAAGCCTGGTTTCTCTGTAAAATCATGGGACTGGCAGAGCCTCTTCCTTAGGACAAGGAGGAAAGGACTACAAACAAGTAGGGTGGAAGCCCATTTTTGCTATTTATTCACTGGCTGGGTGAACTTTAAGGCCTCACAGATGCTCAGCCTGGCCTTTCTCCTTCCCTGCCTGCCCAGGCCTCTCTCCAGGTACGTGCCAGGCAGCATGGAGGCAGTGGAGGTGGGGTGAGCAGGCCCAGCCCTGTTCTTACATAGGCAGGGAAAGCTGTGTAACTGTTATACAGCGTGGGGGTGCCACAGAGGCCTTCTCCTGAGGGTTTGTATGGGAGAAGGTGTGGTGTGCTTGACCTGAGCCTGGTGCCCAACAAAGCCTGCTAGACACATAAATGAGCTCATCCAGACATTTCTGGGGAAGAGACAGGACTCTGAGCCGAGTCCCTCTCATTTCCCTCTTCATCTCTACCCAGACTAACCCTCTGCTGACACTACACCCAGCCTGGAGCCCACAAACATGAGATTCTCCAGCTACAAAGAGGAAAGAGGTATAGCTGGGTCACAGGGAGCTGTGGAGGTCAGGGGCAGTCATGGGGCTGCGTGATTTTTCTCTTAGAAATAATGTTCTCACTTTTTTAAAAATAGAAAAATATGACAAAATCCCAAATGACCCATATCTTACTATCCATTTAAACCCATTGATAGTTTCTAAAAAATAATGCATGAATAAAAATAAAATGAAATAAAATAACACATGAGCATGGTTAGAAAACTCAAATAGGATTAAAACTGTCCTCTCCATCATCCCTGGATCTGCCTCTGTTTACTGCTACTCTGTCACCCTGGCTCCCAGAAGAATTTTCGATACACAGAGCCCTACACATACACCCTTCAACAGTCTACCCACTCGTCCTATAACGTTCATCCCATTCATGCTGTTGTACAATTTTTTTTTAAGTTTGCCTGGCCAGTTTTATGCAAAGCACCCAGAAATCTCTCTCATTTTTTTTATGGCTACGGATCATTCTTTCATGTGGGTAAATCACAATTCATTACCAATCCCCTTCTATGAACACTTAAGTGGTTTATAGATTTTTATTTATACAAATAATACTACCTTAAACATTTGTGCCAAGATAGGCCTCTGCTTGTCCTATAGATGAGTATAAATCCACTGGAGAAATTCCTAGCCATAAGGGTCCTTCCTGGAGAAAAGGACAGCACCGCCCAGAAAGGCCCTTCAGTCCAAACCTCTCCAACAGGTTCTCTAAAGCTCTTTTGGCCACCCCCTCTGACAGCTCTGTCCTGAGCACGAGGGACCTACCCCTACCCTGGGGAGTTCCTGCCCACAAGGTGCTCCCTGCCATCTGCAGCGGTGAACAGAAGCTGGGGTGCAGTGTCCCTGCATGAGGAAGATAGAGCAGAGGGCGGGGTGGCTCAAGTCCCATTATGCTTCTGGACCGCCATACTGGACACCTTAATAAGGCAGATGAGACAAACACAGGCAGGACTCACACTCCCAAGACCATGGTGCTACCAGAGGCCTCCAAGGTGTGACACCAGGCCCAGGAGCCCAGCTGGGGAGCAGATGGAGATGTGGAGAGCTCTGTGGAATGGGCAAGGGCCGCAGAGGCTGGAGATGCTCAGTGTTCTGGTTTAGAAGGGGACGCCCTTTGGCCCTGGCCATCCAACTGCACCGAGGACCCATGCTGACGCTCCCATCGACAGAAGGTGGAGCAGCGTGATGTTTGGTATGGAGCCGTGTCCAAGGTATATGGTTAAATTAAGAAAGCCAAGTGCAGGGAGCTTCCAGTCAACATGAAAAAACACAGTGTCTTCTATTCCTGCTTCCTCTGCTAGAAGGAGAGGCGAGACATTTTTCTAAAAAGAAGAAATCCCTAAAGACAAAAAGGACACAAGAGATGACAGCAGATGAGAAAGATCAACAAAAATCTGAAAAGTGCAAAGCAGATAGATACATGACACAGACGTAACTGAGCAGAAAGCTCAAAAGCAATTCCCTGCAGGGGCTGGAGGACAGAGTCAAGAACCTAGTAAAGGTCAGGAGCCTCTGAGTGCTGGGACACAGGGTCAGGTGAAGACAGGGAGCGTGGAAGTTGGGTGTGATTTCCTCGCTGCTCTGTGGCACTCGGCAGCACCAGCCCACCCAGCGCTCACCTTCTGGGGAGAGCTAGCTCCAGAGCTGCTGCTGACTCGAGCACCAGAAGCAGCCAAGACCCAGGGGGCCGCTGCACAACCAGTTTGCAGAGCCTCCTGGTCAGCCTGATTCAAGAGCCAAGGGATAGCAGGTAAGCCAGGAAAGGGATTAAGGCACTGTCTGCACACTACATTGTGACATCATGACATTAGAGAAGGTCGGAGTTAAAGAAAAGTTCCTAACAGCTTCCAAAGAGAAAAACACAGTAAATCAGGAATCAAGATAGCTTTGGGCATACGTTGGAAGACAGTGGCTAAACACCTTCAAAAGCTTAAGGAAAAATGTTCAATCTAGAATCAAGTCCTTGATAAAGGATTTAATAAAAACCAAAGGTGGAATAAAACTATTTTTTGATGTGCAAGTTTAGCTACATGATCTCTTATGGTCTTTCTCTGAGAAAGCTTTTGAAAGATGTGCTCTGTTGAAACTATAAAATAAAACAAGAAAAAAGACATAGGATCCAGGCGAAAAAAACAATTTCAACACAGAAGAAGGCAAAATAAATTACAAGGATAATAGAGGTCAGCAGGCCTGGAAAACAGTTTTCCAGATTAGGATTAAGGGTGCTGGGAGTGACGCCTTCAAGAAAAACAAAGTGAATGAACCTGCAGCTCTGGATATCATCACCATGTTGAGAAGAACTTTATAGCTCTGCAGAAAGTTTGTTGATGAAGTCATGACAATACACTGAAGCCTAAGGGGGAAAAAGAAAAAGAAATGTATTATCAACTCTAGGAAAACCAGAAAGCCTTTTAAGAAAGAAAGTAGAATCATGTTGCACTGGGGAACTCAGCTATGGGCCACATTTGAATAATGCATATATAATATCACAATATCAACTAAATACCAATTCAGACAAATTGCTTTATATATTGGGAGGATTGGAAAAAGAAGAAACATGGTAAAAATAAATCCTCTTTGTATAGAAAAATATCAAAAGATAATATCTATAATAAAAATATTGACAAATGGCAGCATCTGCATAAGAGTTAGAAATGCTATAGAAATATTAAGTAAAACCCCAAGAGATACAGCAAGGTGGTTTGTACAGTGCTGTCTTTGGAGTGCAGGAGTTGAGAGGTGGTGTGAGGTTTTGAGTGTTCATAATGTTAATTGTAAGATTTATGGTACTTGTGGGTTTTTAAACATTTTTATTTATTTACTTGATGCAGAGTCTTGCTATATAGTTCAGACTCATAGTGATCTTCTTGTCTCAGCTTCTCCAGTGTTGGAATTACAGGCATGTGCTACCGCGCCTGATTTTGGGAACAGCACAGCATGTGGTACAAGGGATTGACCTTGGGTCCTTGCACGTGCCAGGCAGGTGCTTGGGCTGCAGGGCTATCTCCCCAGCCTGGTACTTGTGTTTTTAACCTATTTAACTGTACTGCTTTGGTAAACTAGGCTGATATATACAGGGTGCTGCTAATTTGGGGAAATGGAAGGTATTCATATAGACACTCACAGAAGGGGAATATCTCTGGAAGATACGTGGAGGCACACACACCGAAAAGAGGCTAGTTTTGAGGAGGCCACGTTGGCATCTGATACATCAGGGCTTGTGTGAGTGTGTTGTCTTTAAACTGCAGGGAGCAGCTTGAACTTGGGTGGTCAGGGACTTGGTTCTCCAGTGGGGAAACAGCCAACCTGGATTGCCAGGGCCAGATTAGACCAGAACAAGCCCTGCATTTCCTTTGTGATGTTTGATAACATAGTTTCCCAATGGGTGACAGAGATGTGGCTTAGATGACAATAGGATTGAATGGGTATAACCCATTGAATTAAAAAAAAAAATGTCCTAGAGACCAACAGGCAGAGGTAACCACTGCAGGGACAGTGTCTCTGTCTAGCACTTTCCCACCTTCTTATCTGTAACTTGAATAAGAACATAAAGCCTGGTCACCAGATCTAGGAGTAGACCACGTGTGACACATGGCTGGGGCTGTCCTGGCAGGTACAACAGAAACCCTGGGAAGTTGGTAGAAACTGTAGGCACCTGGGCCCTGCCCTGCCCTTGGGCTGAGGGCAGGGGACAGAGATCCTACATGATTTACAAAGTTCCTACATGATTCCAAATGGGGAACCCATTTGAGAACCACTAAACTACAGGGTCTCAGAAGCAAGGGTATGGACAGGATGCTGGAGAAAGGTGCAGAAACCTAGAGCCAAGGATTTCCAAATGGAGGGAGCTGGTGTATGCGTGAGGGTCACTGAGACTCACTTCTTATGGAGGGCAATCAGGCCAGAGAGGGGGCAGGGCAGGGCCAAGGTCGAGGGGAGGGTAGTGGCTGAGCCGGCCTCAGAACCGCAGACAGTCCCAGCCTGTCTCCAGTGTAGAAGGGGCCAGGCCTGCGCCTGCCTGACTGCTGGCAGGCTGAGTGTGTGAGGCTTGACTTGTGAGTCCATTAGTGATTAACTCAGTTCCATTTACAGTGCTGCTCCATATTTGGGGAGGAGAACATTTTGTGGCGGCTGAGAGGCAGCGCGATTCATCTCTGGGCAGCCGGCCTGCGAGGTGGGGAGGAGGCATGGAGTCCAGGCAGCGTCCCACTCCAGGAGGCTCCTAGGGGCGCGAGATCTGTCTGGAGGAAGCACTGGCCCTTTAGGGCTGCACAGCACAGCCAAAGGAACTTGTTTTAGAGCTCAGCCGTCCGCTGTTGTTTGCCAGTTGTGTGTCCTTCAGCATGCCTGCCCTGTCTGTGAGCTCTGAGCCTCAGTCTGCCCATCTGTAGAGAGGATCAACCCTACACTTCTCCCACCTGGGCTTGTTTGGAGCCCTTGGGGGGTGATGTGCTGGGATGTAGCTGGCACATGCGTGTGGCAACGAGAAGAGTGGCCTGACAGCAGCGTGTCCCTTCCCATTCCTTCGGATGCCCTCCCGTGCCCCTTCTCTGGGCTTGTGGAGCAAGAGCAGAGATGCCGTCAGCCTTGCCTTTGACGTTGCTGCCGTGTGGCCTTGCACAAGTTATTTACGTTCTTGTCCTTCAACTGCCTCGTGTGTAAAAAACACAATGGCCCCAGCTTTGTAAGACTGAGGTGAAAACGGAAAACCCTCTCCGAGTGGCACACAGCAGGCACCCTTAGTGATATCTGTGGCAGGGACTGTGGGAACAGTGGCCCTGGATACAGACCTCAAGGGTACACTATTGCCAGAAGGAATTTTTAAAATTACTAAAACTTACTGAAAGTTGGCCTGTTTTTTATGATGCGTCCACCTCGGCACTTCTAACAGCGGCAGTGGCGGGTGTTCCCTTGGCGGTGGCCAACCACTCTTGCTGCTCCTGCACCCCGGAGGCCTCTGCACCCTGCAGGGAGGGTGGCTTTCCTGCCCTTCTACTAACTGGCCTGGGCACTCCTGCCCCAGTGCATCCCAGGAGAAGGCTTCTGCTAAGCCATTCCACATCCCATTTTTTTGGGACCTTTCCTGACTCACCCTGAGCCTCTTCTGACAGTCTGGAGTTCCTTACCAGGCCGGGGCCCGCAGGGTCATGGTGCTGCCCCAGAATGTCCATGCTCTACCACACGTCCCATTTGCCAGCCACTCTCTAAGTCAACCTGCAGCCACTTGAAGAGTTCTGCCTCCACATCAGACTGCCAGGGTGGGAACTCTCAGCACTGTGGTTGCAGCCAGTGGGAAGGCTGGACCCAAGTAGGTCTGCTCCCCAGAAGTGTCAGCATCCTAGCAAGCTAGAGATTCTGAAGGGGTCTCTGAAGAGATGTTGGGACAAAGGACCTCACCAGAGGCAAAGGGAGCATCAAGTCACCAGCCTTCCCCACATCTGGGCCTGGGGCACCTGCGTGAGGGCTCAACTTCCATGGCAGGGACAGAGACAAAGCCAGACACCATGGAGTCAGACCCAGCCCGCAGATATAAGCCTCCAGGACTCAGAGCAGGGTTCTGCGCAGCCTGGCAGGTAGCAGAATCAGAGCTTGCTTCCTCCCACTCTTCTGTGGCTGGGATCCAAGGAAGATCCTTTAGGTGTCAGCAAGCTGTGAAGAGTGGTGGGAGGGTAGCAGGTGGCTCTGAGGTCTTCTGCTATTGGGGTGTCTCCTTTCTACCTTTGAGTCTTTAGCCATAAATTTATCCACCAAGGTCTTTTTCTGTCACATGTTCCTAAATGTCACTCACCAAAGTGGGCTCGAATTTATAAAACTACATACCCTAGGCACTTGGTGAGGGGACTGTTAGTCACTCACTCTTGAGTGAGAATTAATTTTATCAGATAACTTGCCCCCTAGCACTCAGCTGAAGTTAGAGATTTGATGGGAGAGAAGTGAGATTGGAGTAGAGGACAAAAGAGACACCATGAAAGGAGGCAGATGGCAGTCCTGGGTCACAGGGTTTCCATGGTCACAGTGGAGCTTTGGGTCCTCGCAGCCAGGGGCGCAGGCACCTGGAGTATAGGAGGGAGGGGGACATTTATTGCCTCACTGAAAAGATGAACAGAGACTCAGGTGGGTCCAGAACTCTGGTCAAGGTCTCAGCGCTATTAAGTGGCGGAGTCAGCACTTGAACTTAGCTCTGTCTGAGAGAACGGGATTTTAACCACCTTGTGGTTACCCCACTAACACACACACACACACACACACACACACACACACACACACACACACACACACGGCCCTTCTTGCTTGCCTGGAACTCACCATGGCCCTTCAAGAGAAGGCCTGATTGCCCTTAGCTACCTAGAAGTGCCAGGTTGCTGAGGTCACACTACCCTTCCAGGGCAGCACAGGATCAGGTGCCAGGCCTCCTGGTCCCAGGTCACTTCTGCTTCCTCTCCCTTGGTTGTCTTGGTTGCTGGTCATACAGAGCCAACAGCCTCCTGGTGGGCAGAGCACTGGGTCCAGGGTGGAGTGAGTGAGAAGGTCAGATGATGAAGGGTCCTCCTCTCTTGGCGTGGGCAGAGCTCTCTTCTGCCCTTTTTCCTCTTAGGAGGGTCATAGAGCCATTTCATCCCCTGTCTGTCACTTACACAGTACCCTGGGCTGGCAAGGTGGCCGTATGGACAGACAGACAGGTGCTGGGGACCATTGGAAGATCCTTCAGTGCTATAGCTAGCTGGAACTGCTTGCTGCCTGGGGCTAGCACAGCTGTGTGGTTTGCCAGCCACCAGCTGAGGGCCACCAGTGCCAAGAACAGGTCTGAGTAGATAGGCAGATAAGGGGGACCCTGGCATCTCTATCTGTACCTAGGGCTGGGTTGAAACACGACAGAAATAATGCTGAGGAGTGTTCGGGTGACAGGGCACAGTCACTCACTCTTCCTCATGCCTGGCTGACCTTTGCCCTCCCCAGAATGTACTGGGCACTCAGTGAGCTCAGGGATGTCTCTAGGAGGATAGAAAGATGTATTTCTACCTTTTCTATGTTGATCCATCCTCTTGGTTCCCTCAACCCAAAGTGACACACAGGGGAGTTTGCAGCGACCCATGTGGCCATCCTACCTTCTGTACATCTCTCCTTAGCATTCACGACACTTTCTTGAAGCTCTGCCCTGCAGGCAAGTACTATAAGGAGGCCACATTGACCATGGACCAGGTCAGCTCCCTGCCAGCCCTGAGGGTAAGTCCAGGCAAAGGGAGGGGAGGGTGGCATCACAGGAACTTTGATTCAAGGGCTGAATCGGTGGGTGAGGCAGGCCCTCTGTGCTGGTGCTTGGTCACCCTGCAGCCTCACTCAGAGGGGCTACAACTCCCTGGCAGAGTCCAGCAGAACTTGGTTTCTTACACCCACCTGCCCTGTCCCCATTAGGCCTGAGGCAGGATGATAGCTGAAGGCGGCAGAGGGCTGAGCCTTGCCCCAGGGCTCACAGCTGGAAGGTGGTGGCCCCAGCTGGGCTGTCCTTGGTCCTGCCTGTCAGCCTGCACTCCTGCCAAGGTCCCTCACAGAGCTTCACCCCTTGACCTGCTCTTGACCCTTCTCCTTAGCAACCTCAGTGTGTGAGGGCTTTTCTGGAAGGACTAAGGATTTTCTCAAGTTCTTCCTTGAGAAGCCAGCAGGAAGAACAAGGCTTAATGGCAGGGTGGTGCTCACAACCTGCCTTCTTCCATTTCCATGCGTGGGTGGAAGAGAGGATGTTGGTACTTCGCTGTTGATACCTTCTCCTTGTCTCTCTTTCCACTTAGCCAACTCTGAGTCAGAGATTCCCGTCAAATAAGGGGGTGACTCAAATTTTCAGACCTTCTCCCTCCTTTAACTACATCATATAGGAGGAACACACACACATGCACATGCACACATGCACACATGTGCACACAGAAACACACATGCACACACACACACACACCCTGCCCTTGTTGTAGTATGTTCTTGTCCCCTTCCCAGGGCCTGTTTCCTGTCCAGTGGAACTGTTGAGGTGGCGGGCTGGCAGGGAGAACCAGAGCCCGCTGAACCTGTGGGAGAACCTCCTCCCCACCTTCCAATACTTCAGGGACTGGAGGGGCCCTTGGCTCTGTTATGAGAAGTCTGGCGGAGCCCGGAGGTGCACAATGAAAGAATTCTCAAATCACTCCTGAGATTTTAATTAAAATTTGTACAACACCGGGAGAGGCGATGTCAGCTTAACAAATCATGGCGCTGTCAGACTTCCCTATTCGTCATCTGGACCTTGGCGGAATAGTGATTGGAGTTTGTCATTGTGCAGTGAGTTCTTCTTCCTTTCTGTCTGGAACAAGCTGGGCCAGAGCAATGGCCCACCCCACTGTCAGGGGCTGCTATAGGAGAGACTCCAACGTTGGGGAGGGCATGCAGTCGCTCAGCCAGACTACACAGCCCCTCCTCAGTCCCGCTGCGCTCTGGGGCAGAGACAGACAGAACCTTGAAGGACAGGAAGCTGGGGCTTTCAGCAGCTGTGGGAATGGAGAAGGCCAAAGAATGAGAATGCAGGGGTGCTGCTGGGGTCCTGGAGCCAAAGGCAGAATGCGCAAGATGTGAAATAATAGAACATATCTGTGCCACAGCCTGTCTTTCCTAATTCTGCACTAGTACTCACCCACCCCCTAGGGCACTCCAGGCAAAGGTGGTGGCAGTGGGTCTTCTGCTGGTGGGCTAGGAGGGTTCTAGCCCATGCCGGACTCTCTTGAGTGTTAAGGTGGAAAGCAACTTGAGGTCACCCACTATCTAGTCACTGTCAAGTGTCCCTTCCCTGGCTTTATCCATGGAAATCTGAGGTCGAAAGGAAGACTAGCCCGTGGCCAAGGGATGGCAGGGCCAAGTCATCCCTACTCCCGCAGAGAGGCCTCTACACAGGACTCCCACTCCCTGAGGCCTCCACTTCTCAAGCCTTGGCTGAGCTCTCACCATGTATGTGCTTGGGGTCCCAAAAGTGAAGACCTGCCTTGGGGTCTGGCACAGAGGGCAGTGTGACTTGTGGCCCTGGAAGGCCCTGGAGCTGTCCTGAACCACAGAGGAGCAAGCCCTGGAGTAGGGTCAGGAGGGCCTGCCTGTCTCATGGCATGTCTTGTGGAGTCCACTTGTGCTGAGAAGGAGCCTGGCAGGGGTCGCCACCTCCTCTACCCCCACCTTTCCTTCCTTCCTGTCTTAGGGGCAGGGGCCTTTTGGAGGAGGCAGCAAGGCTCAAGAAGAAAGGTGGGTGCAAGTTTCTCTGCAGAGTTCCAGGTGACAAGCTGGGCAAGATTGGGCCCCCAGGGTGGGGCTCTGATCTTGGCATTTCCAGAGCACTAGCGCCTCCACCAGCAACAACTTGAGTCTCCTGGAAGTGGGCTTGGGGGCTGTGCGGCTGTAATTTTACTTTTTCAACCTTCTTGAAGGTTCATTATCTTATTTTGTTGTATAAATAAAAGCTGATTTGTTGTAGAAAAACTGAAAAAGACAGAAAAGCAGACACAAGGTTAAAAACTATCCATTAACTTGCTTCCAAGGATGATGGCCACACCATTTTGGCCTATTTCCTTTTAGTTTTCATTTTGTGCAGATATATGCATGTTTAGTGGGATCACCTCACCTTCTTTGTATAGATCCCAGCTGTGGTTTATCTCTTGCTTTCCAACTGGCCAGAACCATCCCTAACCCTAACCCTAACCCTGAGCCACTGCCACACAGCAGTAAAGGACAGCTTTGAACTCCCTCGCTACCTTCGAGATCTTGGCAGAGTCACTCCACAAGCGAATGCTTGGGCTGAGGAAGCAAAGAAGCAATTAGACCCCAGCCCAAGGCCTGAACAAGCCGTGCAGTTCATTTTCCCTCCATTGTTGGAAGGGAAAAGGCCTCAGTCTAGGTGGTCCCAGGCATCTGCCAGGTCCTATTCCTCAGCTATTGGAGAAAATACTTTCTAATCACCAAAGCCGTGCACAGAGGAAATGAGTTCCCTGTCTCTGGAGGGGACAAGCAGGGCCACCAGGCCCTTGGTCGAGGTGTCTGGCACATACTTACCAGAGGGAGGTTGGACTAGAGGCCTTGTGCCTTCACCCCCATCCCCCACCCCCGCCTCCAATGTATGGTTCTGGCCCCGAGGCTTGTTTCTACATCTACCATAGTGTGCTCTAGACTTTTTCTTTAAAAAATTATTTTGAGGAGGGATTAGAGATACTAACTTTCAATACTGCCAAATTAAGACATTCACCACTATTTCATTAAGGTGCAGCTCATCCCAGAAGCAAGAATGGTTTTTTTCCAGCATAGCCCTTTTTGTCATTTTCCCCTCTTTGTCCCCTGTTGTTGACGACTTTGCCATTGACCCATTGTTGGCTCTTAGATAAGCTGGGAGGGCTTACACCTAGAACTGAGGTCTCTTGCATCTTTCCATTGAAGGATTAAGTAGAAGCTTTTCTTCCCAAGGGGAGGAGAGGCTTTGAGAAGGTGGGGCCAGGGTGAGCCTATGTCCTTTGTGCCAGGGACAGGAGCAGCATGACTCACACTGTCCAGAGGCCTTCTTAGGAATAGTCTTGAAGAACAGGGCCCCAGGGAGCTCTGGGCACTCATATAACTTGGCTCAGGGGCTTGAGTGGACTGGGAAGAAAGTTCTGTTTTCTTAGCTTGGGTTCCTTCATGGAAAAAGTGGGGCTATTAATATTGGGAAGGGGTCTGCCTGTCAGCAGAGAGCAAAGAGCAGGAAGGGCCTGGGCAACATAGGGCATTGGGAAAAACCTGTGGGCAGAGACTGCTGCTGGGCCAGCGTGCAGTGCCCTTTCTCCACCTAAAGTTTCTATGTTCGTTTTGTCTCCTGTACTCTGTGTCATTAATAGTCAATTAGCTGAATGTTTCTGTTCCTGTAAATATTCTCACTTTCTGTAAACATGACGAGTACACTGTAGGGTGACTCAGGTTTCTGGTTTCCAGGCTCAGAGTGACTTTGTATCCACTCAGACTGTGGGAAGAAGGCCTGAGGACAGACCTCGAGCTCTGAGCCCTGGTAGGGAGGCCTCAGCTGACCAGACCACCTCCTCCTCTGGCCTCTTCCCACCTCCCCTTCCACATTCCTTGGGCAGAATGGCTGTGTGTGGCCTGGACCCAACATCAACTCTGTCCAAGCCCACAGGATTTAGGAAACGCATGTGTGAGCTTTTAGGAAATGCATAGGTTCCTGAGGCCTCAGCTCATCTAGGTTTTTGTCTATCCCTAGTTTTCCTGGGCCTTTCTGAACCCTCCCTGTGGGTCAGGACTTATCTTCTTAGAATAGTTTGCAAGGAACCCATATCCAAAGCTGAAATGCAACAAAAACCCCTGATATTTTAGCTTCTGAAGAAATTGCCAAAGTAGGAAATGGACAGATGAGAGTGTGTTTTTAATTTTAATTTTTAAAACATTTGAAAATTAAGACTATGAATGCTGAGGATTAAATTGCCTTACACATTTTGCTCCACTTTCCTTTATCTAAGGCAGGCTTTTCAACTCTCAGTTGATCCAATAGGATCATTTTGAGTAGAACAATGTTTGGTGCTTTTTGGCACTATAACAAAACACCTGAGACAAGCTACTTTATAGAGAAAAGATATTTATTTCACTCGGTTTTGGAAGCTGGTGGAAGGTACATATTGTATTTCTGTGTCAGCTCTCTCTCTCTCTCTCTCTCTCTCTCTCTCTCTCTCTCTCTTTCTCTCTCTCTCCCTTCCCCCCACCCAAATTCAGTCAGGGGTCTACCTTAATAATTTCATTTGATCTAACCACATCCCAAAGGTCCTCCTTCAAAGCACCACAGTAGGATGACATTTCCACCCTCTTAATATCATTAACATAAAACTTAGGGATTACATCACATGTGTTAGGGAGGACAAATATATGCAAATCACAGCAAGTGTCTGCCTTATTATGCCTGCATACTCTCTTTGGAACTAACCTAAGAGATATTCTGTGGTTACTTTTCCCTTTTGCAATGGTATCCTCCCTTCTTCCTTCATTCCAGAGCCCTTCTGATCTTTTCTTCAAGATGCTTTTTCCACTTGCTTGTTGGGATTCTTGCCTTTCATGTAAGGGGCCTTCCTTGGTGAGCCTTCGCTCATAATGAAGGGTGAGGTGTGGAGCCCAGAAAGCAGTTTCAGAGCTGAGTCTGAATCTCACATGGGTTTGTCAGCTGCAGTTTCACTGGATGGTGAGCCAAGGGGCCA